CCATTGGGGGTGGGTTTTTTTGGGGGGGGTTTGGTAGGGGGTAAAAACCCCCCCAATCCTTTTTTTTTTTTTTTTGTTTTCCCAAATTTCCCGGGCCCGGGGACCCAAGGGAAATTATTTTTTTTTCCCTTTTTTTTTTTCGGCCCCCCCGAAAAGGGCCCAGGGGTAGGAATTTCCATCCCCGAAAAACCCGGGAAAAAAATTTAAATGGGTTTGGGAAACCCCGGCCCTCAGTGGGGTTTCCCCCCCGCCCTTTTAAATTTTTTTTGGATTTTTCCCATTTTTTTGAAAAACCCCTTTCCCCCCCCCCCCCCCCCCCCCCCCCCCCCCCAATGGTCTAACAGCTAAGGCATGCAAAACGTGAGTACACCCCACCCCCCCGGCCGCCTCCCTCTGCCTCTGTCTCTCCATCGCTACGCTGTCGCGAACTCACGACTCTCCAGGTGACGGCAGCGTCACTGTCCTCGACCGGTTGCCCAGAAGGCTGGCTTTACTTCGAGGACACGGGAAACTGCTACTTCAAGAGCCCCAACACCGCCAAGGCCGAGAACCAGGCGGACGCGGTGTCGATCTGCGAAGAGGAGGGCGCTTGGGTCATCGCGATCGACTCAGAGGTGCTAATTTATGGACAGGGTTTGCTTTAGGGTAGGGGGGGGGGGGGGGAGCGAAGGGGGAGCGGGCACAAGCTACGTTGACTTTTGGAGGGGAGCGAGGCATCGATTTTTCGAAGCGTCCTGTACACGACCAGCGTTGACGCTGCTCCAGTTCTGGTTGTTTTTTGCTGTCATAGAGGATGCTTCTTGGGCTAAGGCGAGTCTCAGGCATCAAGTAGCCTCGTGCGGTTTCGATCGCGCTCGACGATGGATTCCCTCTGCTGTGGTGAGATTCCCAAACGCTTGCCATGTACTGCACCTCTCCTCGCTCTCATTGGCACACCACGGTGCACGATCCACTTTGTTATGCATACAACACGTGCTGCTGTTTGCCAGGCAGTGGAACAATGTGCCGCCCACTCCCCTCTTGTCCTAAATAAGTTTGATAGTTTCCTTTTTCCTCAGGCTTCTGGCACCGTAATCGAAAACGCCCTCTCGCTTGTTCCGCGATGCGACATGGCATATGACGCTAATCACGCCTCATTTTATCCGCTCTGTTGTTGTTGTTCTTGTTGTGTGTGGCGGCGATGTGGTACCGTACCGTGTGTAATTGGTTCCAGGCGGAGAACGACTTCTTGCTTCACAACATGCTGTTTACCGGCTTCTTCGGGGAGACGTACACCGGCATGACCAAAGAATCCCCGTCGGATGAGTGGGAGTGGCCCGCCGAATCGGTGAGGCGCTGGTCGCACCCGTGTACCGACCCCCCTTTGATGGGACCCATCTTGGTGCTAATGGGACCCAATTGGAGTGGCTATAAAGGTTCTGGGGTAGTGGTATGTTTTCTGAGGATGACTCAGAGGTTCGAACCCAGGAGTGGGACGGAGTGGTTTCAACGCCACGCCACTGACGGCAGCAGCGGTGTCGAGAAGCGTATCCTGTAGGGTGCGTAAGATAACACCCCCCCCTGGCGCCGAAGCGGTGAGGCGCCGGTCGCATTCATGGGTCCCCCTTGCGAAGGAATGGTTTCAACGCCATGCCGCGTACGGCAAGCAGCAGTAGCAACGAAGCAGCGTACCCCCTAGGTTGCTTAAGATAGCACACACACCCGGGACCGAATTTTCAAAGCTCGATTGCTCTTGAGCAAGAAACAAGGGCGGTAGAAAACTACTTTGCTGCGATTTATTTTCTTATTTTTGCACGGCCTGCCTTCTGTTGTTTTTCGGAGAAAGTACAAGGCACCCCTTCCTTGCGATCGTTCTTATTACTTATTAAATAGTGGCAACAACAAGCTCACGTTGAAAATGATGCAAACGGTGGGTCTCGTCTCCGCGCCCAACGTAGCAGTGCATACCAATACCGATTGCTTTCTGTGCCCCCGTTCATGATCTGATCCTTCGCTACGTCCTCGCACCCTCTTTTGGTTGTTGGTAAATATCAGTCGGATACGGCCTACAATTGCGTGGGGGACTATTCTGACTGGCTGGAAGGGGCTGAAATCGGCTGCGCGGCCGTCTTCGACGGGGGAGAGGACGGTTCTTGCATGGTGAGGGTCGAAGCCACCGACGCCGCCCCGACGCATATGTAGAGGTGCTGATTAGCCTGCACTGCGGCGGCGGTGCAGCAATAGCTTGTTGTTGTTATTGTGGTGGTGGTGGTGGTGGTCGTTGGCATGGTGAGGGTCGAAGCCGCCGCCGTCCGCCCCGGCGCGTAGCGGTGCTGTAGAGCCGGCGCTGCGGCGGCGGTACCGCAGAGCTTGTTGTTGTTGTTGTGGTAGTTGTTGAAGCGGTAGCGGTACAGTAGCTTGTTGTTGTGGTGGCCGTGGTTGCCCCGAGTCACCGCCGAGTTCTGACAAGCCAGTAGCTCCGCTTCTCTACCTTTCCAAGCGCGTTAGGTGAGAAGTGTGTTGCGAGCCGCGTAGGATTTTTTGTCCTGGGTGCCGGACGCTGCCTGTACCTTTGCATTGGACGTGGGGCGTTTGTGTCGGACGGGACGGGTCTTTGCCGCATCGGCTTTGGTACATAGCCACACACACCGCGAGGCGTTGTGTCGTCGTTTTGGCCGTTGTGTTTCGAAAGAATGTTGACACAAACACGTCGTTTGTTTTCTTTTTTTGGTCCTGTCCCCACCCCCCCACCCCCCCCCAACAAAACTCTTTGTGTTCTTTCTGCTTTCTCCGTTTGTTTCGTTCTATTTTTGCCCTCTCCACACACACCCAAAAATCGTGTGTTCTGCTTGCTGTGTTTGTGCACAACAACAAAATAGGAAATCTTCCCGTACGAGCCGAAAGGATGGAATCCTTTCTCGTGCGACGTCGGAAAGCACTACGTCTGCGAGATGCCTGCCACGGCGGGGGGGGAGGAAACGGGGACAGCAAGCCCCGGCGGTTGCTACAACAACCCCCGACCTCCGCCCCCCACCGCCAAACGCGACCTCTTCGGCGGCGACGCCGGCGCCTACTCCTGCGGCATCGACAGTGCGACCGTCGGCTGCTCCTGTGACTGCTGTGACAAGCGCGCCAGTGCTGAACACGACTTCTTCCCCGAGCGTGGGGCCTACCGCGTGGAATACGACCGCTCCGACGCCTTCACCCGTGAGTCTTCTCGCCACGGCAGGTTGTATGCCATGCGGCGTGCTGACTCGTTTTTCTTGGCGGTGGTGGTGGGGACGCAGCAGAGGCTTCGAGGCGGTAGTACAACGCAAGCAGAAGTGGTGTGTGTACGCATATACTTGGAAGTAACAAGCCATGTTTTTTTTTATGGGAACGGTGGCGGATGATCTGAACGTCGAGAAATCACTTCCTCCTTTGTCTTGGTCAGGCAACGATATTTTCCACTGCCGCTTTAGCGTGGAACCATACATAAAAAACTCCTGTCTCCTTTTCGCGACAAACCCCACCACCCACGGCAAACCAAACAGCAGTGTGGCCACTTGCTGGACAAGGCCGACCGAGCCCACGCGCCCAAGTAACCGATTTTTTACTTTTTTGGACATACACCCCTCTCTTTTCCGCCCTCTTCTTCTGCTTGGGGGGGGGGGACCAACAACAACATCAGGTGTCAACCGCCGGAGTCGATGAAGTCATCGCTACGATTTCTCCGACCTCGGTAGGCAGCGGCGACGATAACGTGGACAGTCAGCCTGCCCCGACGCCGTCGCCGCAGGGAGTGGAGGAGACTCCGGGGCCGACCGTTGTCCCGTCTTGGGCGGGGGCGAACTCGTTCTACCTCGCGCTCAGGGGCGTGTGGACGGACGCTTCGTACTCTTTGTACCTTGAGGAAGGAGGTGTGTGTGTGTGTGTGTGTGTGTGTGTGTGTTTCTGTAATATTAGCATCGACCGCGCTAACCGACTGACCAATGAAAAGGCGTCAGTCTCAGTTCAGGTTTTGTGGCACGCAATTCGCTGATTGGTCAACGCACCTGCGGCGGAATTTGCAAAATGATGAAAAACTAGGGCGTGTGTTTGTTTGTTTGTGCGTAGTCCCTTTGTGGTAGTTTTCTCGATGAGCACGGGTGTGTGTGTGTGTGCTCTGCACGGTGTGTTTTGGGGAGCACCATGTGGTCCATGTGTTGCGGTGACTCTGGGTACGGAGACTGCTTCGGCGGTGCTGCTGTTGCCGGTGCTACCGCTGTCTGTTGGTGCCGTCATTGTCGCGGTAGACGGTGCTCTGTACAGGGCCCTTTCGGTGGTTGTCGTCGTCATTGTTGTTGTATGCGGTGCTCTGTACAAAGCCCTTGCCGCCATCGTCGTCCCTTTCAAATATGGTTTCTTCAGATGTGGAGACAGCTGTGGTGACAGGCGCAACAAAGGAGGCGCTTGGCACGGTCACCCACACCTTCGCCGCAAAGGATGGCTGCTATAGGTTAGAGGTGAGCTCACGGCATCATTCTGTGTTGAAGCTCTTGAACATGAACATGCGACTACTGCTGTTCCCTGAGCGCTAACAAACCGTAGTCGAAACACGACATTCCGGTTTTCTTCTTTTTTACCACTTTCATTGTGTGCTGTTTTGGAACCCTTGAAGATGAGCATGCCACTGCTGTCCCCCTGAGTGCAAATAAACATTCGGAACACCACATTCCGTGGTTTTGTACAACTTTTGTTGTCCTGATTTCGTTCATCACACTCGTCCGTCACAACGCAGGTGGAAGTTGTAAGCTTGCGCGGGGGAGATCGATGCCCCAAGATATAAGACCCCCCTCCCCCCCCACCGCATCCGCCTTTTTTGTTCTTGAATACAACTGTCGGCGGTTTCACATCCCAATGGAAAAAGAATGGACACCCAGAGGGAACTCTTGCAGACCCACTCCACGTCTGTGGAGGGCCAACCCTGCCTCTCGTGCGCTATCGGCTGCTGCACCCTCCCCCCCCCCCATATGCCCGCCCCCCCCGGTGTTTGCCATCGGGGTGGGGTTTTCGTCGCTTGGTAACGATGTTGTAAAACAAGCCGCCGCCCCCGGTGTTTGCCATCGGGATTGGGTTTTCGTCGCTTGGCAACGACGTTGTTAAAGAAGCCAATTCACTTCGTGAACTCAGCAACCAGGTTACCGTTTTTTTTTTACCTCTGTTTTTTTTTTTGGCGGTAACCATAATGGTGGTCGAGTAGATCATGTTGTGCGGGGTGGAGAAACCTCACTCCGCGCAACGGGGGATGATCGCACCACGTTGTGTTAAATTGGTCAAGCATCCTCGAGGCAGCTACACAGTGCTTATAACTGTCTCTGGAAGTGATTGCACCAGAAAATAAATTAAGTCATGCGCAGCTGTCATCCGTACGCAAGGAAGTAAGCACAAGATGCCGAACACCCTTAGCAGGATGCAGCTCACCCTTCATGCGACTCCCCGAATACCTCACGGCGCTTCGCGCTTGGTGATGTGAGAGCCTGGTCCGGTGAGAACCCGGCATGCTCCGTCCCGGCTTTGTAGGGATGCGAGGTCAATGGTCTAACGACTACGGCATGCACGACTACAGTATGAGTACACCCCCCCCCCCCCCATATGCGCTGCTGCCCGTCGCGGGGTCCCTCTCTTCGCGTACCTAAACGTGCTTCGCCGGCTGCTGCTGCTGCTGCTGCTCCTCCTGCTTCTGTGGGCTTGTCCCCCTGCCGCTGTCGACTTGCACTCCTGCTGTCACTGACTCGCGCTTCTCCAGGTGTATTCCTCGGGAAACCCGACGCTGCCGGAGTGGCACGTGGTCGGAGGGGACGCTTACGGCGGCACGGGGGACACTTCCGGTGCTGGGCTAGACGGCGTTACCTTTACCGCGGGAGGGGGTGAGAAAGCAAGCAGCAAGCGTAGCTGTCCCTGCGCGTTCCGTTTGTTGTTGTAGTTGAGGAGGAGGGCGGAGGATGTTGACGCCCGCGTTTGTTGATGAATGATCTGGTGAGTTTTGCGCGCGGGGCCGTCGACGGGCTGTTTAATATCGGTCTAAGGCCGCATATTGTAAGCGCCGAGGGATTTGGCCGTCCTTATGCCGGGCACTATTTTTCAAAAAATGAGACGGCTTTGTTATAGTGCCCGACAGGCGCCGCTCCCCCTACCCTCCGGTATCCTCTTCCCGATTGGTACCCGCTTCCACGGGGTGATCTGATTGATACTTTTCTTCTACGTGGTTGCTGCGCGTCGTTGTAGGCGTGTGCGGCGTGTCGGAGTGCCAGGCCCTCTGCCTGTCGGACCTTTTCGGCGGCTCCGACGGGGGGCAGGAGGCGAGCAGCACATGCGATGGTTACGCCGCCCTCATCTCGGGGGCTTGCGGCGACGTGTGTCCGGAGGACGAGGAGGAAGGGCTGGGGGAGTTCCAACAGGCAAGATGGCCTTGCTATTTTTTGGTGTGAAAAGTGTATGAACTCCGCTGACCGTAACGATGAAAGAAGCAGCAGTACACAAAGTCGACTGCTCTTGCTTGTACTGGTGAGAAGCCCGGAAGTCGAAGTCTGGATTCAAGGAACCGCGCTCGCAAAGAAGACGGCGTGCTGCGGAAGAGAGGCAGGCAGAACCAGGCAGTTTTGTATAGTAGTTGCAGCCGTGGGCAACACACGGGCGAGAGAGCCCTTGGTAACGATGATGGGAACCTCTCCGTCCGGCGCGGAAGCTACATTGTAGGACAGGGACACTGAGGAGCGTACAGTTCGCGCCTGCACTTGGGTACGTGGGAGTTGGGGTCTCGACCTTGCGATGTTTATGCCTGGGGGGGGGGCGGTCTGAGCGCTTGATCGAAACGGACCGCCTTCGCGAGAAAATAAGTTTTATGAGGAAATAGAACAGGGAGGTGGTACGCAGACCCTAACCCTATCCCTAACCCTGATCCAACTTCCCCGATTGCATGCTTTATCCAACATGTTTACACAATAATACGAAAAACTCTGGGAAGGCTACTGGTCGAAACGGCCCTTGTCTCTTGGACGATAACGCCGTCTACCCCCCCCCCCCCCCCCCCCCCCCCCCCCAAAA